CCGATTAAGTTTTAAGCTGAAACTTTGTGAAGATAATTTACACGTCATGAGAAACATGCTCACAAAATGTCATAAAAATTTTCTAACCGGAAACCCTCAAACGGGATTGAATAAACGGCGTTTCCGGTCTCAACATCACTCTGTATATAAATGTAATTATTATAGTCGACCAGTTGACAACAAAAAATGAATTGGTACTTGATACTCCCTCCGTCCCATTTTAGTTAGCCAATCTTGACTTTTCCGGTCAAAGGTCGTAAAGTTTGAGCAATTATTTGAACTAATATATTTTTGCAAAAAATAATAATTATATTCTTTTATGATAGTATTTTAAACAAGGAACATTTTTCATATAATTTTCATATTATTAATATTTTATCTATATAAACATATAAGCGGTCAAAGTTAGGTATCATTGACTTGGAAAATCATGTTTGGCTAAGTAAATTGGGACAGAGGGAGTATAAAAGTAAAAAATAAATTTTATTAATAAGGAAACAATATACGGACTAGGAGACAAGTACATAAATTAAAGTTGTTCTTGTGATTTCTCTAACGTCATCGTCGCCACTCTGCCAAAGTCCTTTAGATGTGAGCATCTAAATTATGTTCTCGTTCACATTTTTTGCAACTTAGGCATAACAATTGTACGGGTAAAGTTGAGTTACTTAGATTTTATAAACTTATTTTGTAATTGATTTTTTGAAGAGTTGTAATATTTGATTTCTCTATTCTCTAATATATCATATCTACTGTTAAAATTTTCATATTTTCATGTTCATGCCTCAAATATTGGTGGTTATATTTATTTTTAAATCAACTTTTGATTCGTTTATGTGTATTCTTATTAAAATCTAATTAACGACTTTTTCTAGCGTGTGACAACTTGTGTTATAACTTATAAATTTGTTTTTGAAATTATTATTTATTAAATTTATTCTTTTTTAATTATATTACTACCTTCTAATTTTTAATATAATACTTAGTACTAAATTATTATTGTTTAGTTTTTATTGTGACGGGAAAGCTAAGAAACAAGATTCAAGGAATTCAAAGAGATAATAAAAAAACTACTTATGTAATCTTTTGGAGATTAGTTCTATTCATAGGTTCAGAAAATAAATCATTTTCCTTTAACTTCGAACAATTTTTTTGTCTAGGGCACCAAAACTCCTAAAAACTCCTAAAGATGTCGGAGAAACATGCATGTCGGAGATCAGAATAGGCCATGGCAAGACCCGATGAACTAATTATTTTGGGAATATTATTATTAGCCCCCTAAGGTTATGCCATAATTATTAATGCAATCTTGCATTTTCAAAAATCAATTAATTACCCCCTAAGTTTTGATCATTTTCATTGTTTTCCCCCTCACGTTTATATTTATTAAATTAAATTTAATATAATTCTTAAATTCAATAAAAAATAACTATAACTTAAATTTTAAAGTAAATTACAATTTATTATCATAATTATAAGTCATTGTTTTAGGTTACCGTTATTTTTATGCTTAGCTACTCAATCGTGGAATAATGAAAGTAGTTAATTAAGTGAGAAGACTCACGAATAAGATATAAAATATCATGAATTTTATACATAGTATATTTTTTTTTAAATATCACTTAAGCTTATTTAACTAATAAACTTTTTTTGAAGAAGAAATCATCAAAATTAGTAATAGAATTAATAAAAAATTAAAAAAATCAAAATCTATGATATTTATTTTAGTTCTTAGATTGATAGATTTCATTTATTCAGGCCCTATATATATACATTTTTGTCATTTAGGTTTCTTATTAATACTAGATCAATCTTTTAGGTTATGGATTGATAAAATTCATTTTTCTTGGTTCTTTACTACACACGAAAGAAGTGTCATTGGTTATCTGCCTTAACTACTTTGATCAATATTTATTCCACGAACGAGTAGTTATGTAGAAAAATAACGATAAAAAACAATGACTCATAATTATGATAATAAATTGTGTTTTACTTTAAAATTTAATTTCATAGACAATTTTCATTGAATTTAAGAGTTATATTAAATTTAATTTAACAAATATTAACTTGAGGGGGCATATAATGAGAATGATCAAAACTCAGGGAGTAACTAATTATTTTTTTAAAATGCAAGGTTGCATTAATAATTATGGCATAACCTCAAGGGGCTAATAATAATTTTCCCAATAATTTTTGTAAGATCGACTTTAACTAATAAATGAAATACTCGGTCAGTGCCAAAGAAACACAACCTCAACCAGTGTATTTTACGGAGTAGATCATTATTTCGATCAATTGCATGTGTATTTTGAAGGCTACGATGAAGATATGTGTGTTGATAACGGTGAAAAGATCAATCATGCTTGTCCAATGATTATTTTGTAAGGGCATGTTTGGGAGTTGGGTTTGGGAAAGGAGGGGAAAGTTAATGGGGTTTATGACCCCTTTTTAATGTTTGGGTGTTTAAATAGTTAGAGGAAGCGGTTTGAAGGGTTTTCATACCCTCCAAAACCTTCTAAATGCTCAATTTTCGAAGTTCTCCCAATTTGAAGGTTTTTGAAGGATGATTAACAAGATGATAATTTAAGCTTAATTAGAAATGAATACCAATTCAATTATTTGTATTCATCATATTCCAAACTGATTTTAATTATAATTCCTTCAAAAATTCTCTACTTAGCTTCCAAATTTATTACTCACAAATACAAAGAATGGTTTAATCACCTTCCCTCCAACAACATACCTCCAAAGTATTCCACTCTCCTTCCCTCCAAACTTTCAAACACACCCTAAACAAAAATCATACTATGTAACTTCCATTTTTGGAGCAAATATTGTTCATCTAATCAAAGGTATTGACACAATCAAAAAATAACTTCACATTTATACCTCATATTCATTTGTTGGTCCTTGATTGATTGGTGACTTTCTACTTCAAAATTATCCTTTCTTTTAGCAAAACATTACTTCGTAAATGTCATCTTAATAGATCTTAGTGTCTCTTGAAGATATAATTGATGTATGATAAGATAATAATATTATAACTCGAGCTAATGTATTTAAAGTAATTCTTTCATTTATGTACTATTGACATGAAAATCAGAAACCTAAAAGTCTTATACAAGACAATTGAAAAACCACAAGACCAAGAGTCGATTACAATCACCTTGTATATCCATTATGTGTGCAATGACGAACCCTCAGAAGTTGACACAATCCCTTTAAATAAGGGTGTGGAGATTCTATTCTAATTTCCATATCAAATGAAAGGGTGTGAAGAAATTTGAAACTAAAGTGGAAAGAAAACAAAAAATACTCAATAACATGAAAGGTTGTAGTAAGTAAAGTGAAAAAAAAGAATTAGTACTTTGCAATGATGTAGCTTGTGAAATGATTAATGGTAAGATGACATAATCATATGACTAGGAAAAAACCTTTAAATCTGATTTAATTCAATATAATTACGACAACTGCTAAACGGAAATGAAAGTGGAATACAAGAGAAAAACTTTCAATAAAATTGTTTAAACAAATCTAAAACTTTCATATCATTCAAGGAAAAGAGTGAAACAAAATAAGATTAAAGTGGGAAAAATAAAAAAGGAGGACTTTCATCACCAAATAGTAGTAGTGATAGTGAGTGAGTAGGACTTACGATGGTGTGTGAAACAAATTTTAAGTATTTACTTAAAATTGATCGCAAATAATAATATGTGAGAATATCGGGTACAATCTCTAAATATTAATCCTCTGATTCTTCACTTGCAATTTGATATGAATATAATTAAAGAATTTAATTTAAAATTAAATCTCTAATTCTTCAAAAACTCGAACGTTCATCGATTCTTCGAATCTTCGTTCTTGAGATCTTCGAATCTTCGAACTTCGTTCTTCAGATCTTCAAATCTTCTTGAATGCAAAATTCAATATTGAAGGGCCTCCGGTTTCAAGTAGCTTGATCTTCAACAAAAGGGCCGTTATGTGGCTTGATCTTCTGTTAAAGGGCTTCCCGGGATATATGGCTTGATCTTCAATTGAATATTGATTCAATCTTCATATGAATATCTTCAAATCTTCAAAGATTCGTTCTTCATATCTTCGAATCTTCAAAGCTTCGTTCTTTAGATCTTCGAATCTTCAAGCTTTGTTCTTCAGATCTTCGAATCTTCAAGCTTCGTTCTTCAGATCTTCGAACGTTCTTCAACTTTTGGCTTTTGTTTGATCAAGAATCGATGAAATCACAAAGGATTATTCATATATTCTTGACAAAAACGTGGCTTGATCTCTTCCTCTTCTTCGGAATCCTTCAGAGCCTTTCGGGAGTTCTTCAGAGCTTTGCTGCAGCGTTTCTTCGTCTGGAAGTTCTCCTCCCTTTCTCTCAAATGAGACCCCTATTTATAGGTGTGGAGGAGGTGAAAATATGGCCTAGGGTTGCTGAAATTCGTCCATACCTCATGGGCCATAATTAAAATGGGCTTTGGGCTCCATTTGCTTGCATTTTAATAGCTAAAAAAATCAGCACTTGTGCAACGTATTTGGACAACTTTTTTAACAATGTTCAGAGCTATTTTTCATGCATATGGACACATTTCTTAACCGGATTCGTTGGCCTCTTTATCAATTGGATCATCCTGCTTATATACTGAGCCACTATTTGATAATGGGCTCAAAATTAATTGGATCGGTCCATTCTTTTAAAGATTTAATTTATAATTCAATTAATTGGATATTTTGAATGATCCAAATTAATTGAATTAATAAATTTTATCTCAAGAGATCCATGACACTATTTCCTTCTCGATAAGGCCCAACAACCATCACGGTATCAGTCCACCGGAATCTAATGCTGGCCCAGTTGCACTTCAAAAAGACGTAATGATAATCTGAATCAGCCCAATATTTTTTATATGTCTACAAATGCCCCCTCGAGACTTGTTTGAATTCTTAAACAGGTGAAAAGTAAGTCTCGAAACTGATATTTACACTGTTTGGCCCAAATCATTTAATCCATTTATAATCCAGCTTCCTTTCTACCATATTTTCAAATAGCTCAAAGCACAAACCGATGGGATAATGCGATAAAGATTAAACTGGCTGCCCATTCGTGTCAGCTTTGTTTTTTTTTTCAAAAGAGCCCAAATAATATACTTCGTAGAATAATATGGTGGAGTCCAAATCAACTTTTAAAATTCACACCATCACCCATTCACACGTTAATTCCTTCTGCATACACGAAGTATTAACGTATCTCCTAATATAAGTCTAATACCAAGTCCTTAAATTTGTATTCTACCGGGACTTTGATTTATCGCATTAATCGGATCTCAAACTCTTGTTTAACATCTATAAATATCAGCTGATACTTCGTTTTCAGCATATGCAAAATAGTGAAGGCACGGCTGCTTTCTTCTCCTCCGCCTAAGAGTTCGGCCAGATTTCAATAGGTATAATTTCTTTGCTTTCTCTCTCTTTTTTTAACTATCTTTTCTTCGGTCGTATAGCAGGATCCTCCACATGAGCAAGATAAACACCTGTTAAACATCAATTGAAGTAGCGGGCTAGCGGCCATCCGAAGAAGATCCTTTGCTGGTTGGCGTCGGAAGTTGATGATTTGGCCGAGGTTGAGGGTCGTTGTTGTTGTAGCTGTTCACTGAGTTGTTGCCGTGGTTGACGATGTCTCTTAATCTCTGTTGCAGTTTGCGTGAAGAAGAAGAGGATGGGCCGATTTGTTCATGCTGGGGTTCTCATGCTCGTGCAAAGAAGATGACAGGAGATGCTGGGGTTCTCACGCTGAGATTTGTGTTTGTCCGGCGTTTTGCAGGGAGAGTTCCTGTGTCAGGCCAGATTTGTTCGTGCGGCGGAGATAGTGCTGAGCCTGATCGATTGTTGGCCGTTGCTGGGAGATAAGATTTTGATGCCAGCTGATATCATTGGAAATTAAGGCTTTGTGCTACCGTTCGGCAATAAGAATCGGAGCTTTACTTTGTGTTACTGAGATCGAGACTTTGCTGGCCAGAATAAGAGATGATGGTGCTGACTTTGTTGCTATCGGCGCCGCTTAGCCCTTTGTTGGGATGGCGTCAATTTGAAGAATTAGGCCGATTCCCGATTGTCAGTGCTGCTTAGCCCTTTGTTGGGATGACACCGATTTAAGGAATTCGGCCAGTTGCCGATTGTCGGTGCTGCTTAGCCCTTTGTTGGGATGGCACCGATTTGAAGAATTAGGCCGATTCCTAATTGTCGGTGCTGCTTAGCCCTTTGTTGGGATGGCACCGATTTAAGGAATTAGGACGGTTGCTGATTGTCGGTGCTGCTTAGCCCTTTGTTGGGATGACACCGATTTGAAGAAACTAAGCCGATTTTCGATTGTTGGTGCCGTTTAGCCCTTTGTTGGGATGGCATCAATTTAAAGGATTAGGCTGATTCCCGATTGTCGGTGCTGCTTAGCCCTTTGTTGGGATAGCACCGATTTAAGGAATTAAACCGATTTCCGATCGTTGGTGCCGTTTAGCCCTTCGTTGGGATGACACCAATTTAAAGGATTATGCCGATTCCCGATTGTCGGTGCGAAGACCGGCCACTTCGTCGGTTTGAAGACCGGCTATTTTGTCGGTGCGAAGACCGGCCACTTCGTCGGTTAGAAGACCGGCTATTTTGTCGGTGCGAAGATCGGCCACTTCGTCAGTTTGAAGACCCGCTACTTTGTGGGTGTGAAGACCGAACACTTCGTCGGTTTGAAGACCCGCTACTCTGTGGGTGTGAAGACCGACCACTTCATCGGTTTGAGGACCCGCTACTTTGGGTGTGAAGAACGACCACTTCATCGGTTTGAGGACCCGCTACTTTGGGTGTGAAGAAACTTCAAGGAGCTTGTAATGGTTTTCCCAGAGCTTGTAGCAATCCGGCAGGAGCTTGTACCAGTCCAGCAGGAGCTTGAAGCAGTCTTGTCGGAGCTTGAAGCCGTCTTGCAGATTTCAAACAATGGTGTTGCCCTTTGTCATCGTGAAGAAGATGGCGGTGTTGTTCAAAGCTTTAGAGGTACCATCGATGCTACTGCCGTCGGCGCCACCTGCTCCGTTGTTGAGATGGCGACGGCGTTGTGGAGATATTGTTCGAAGCTCAACTCAATCCACTTCCGATGACGAGGAGATGAAAGATTCCCGAAGCCTTTGTCGTTCATCTGACTTTTCTTCGTAAGCCTTCTTCTGACATTCTTTTTGACAAAATGACTCAATTGGGATTTATTTTGTTATAACTGAACTCAAAAATGAAACTTTTGAGCTGCCTACGAACTCCTATGAAGGAGATCAAGTCAGACGTAGTTCAAAGTATCATTTGAATAGGTAATTTAAAGGGGTGGGGTGCCGTACACAGTTTTAACTCATGCGGGCCAGGAGTTTTCCGTACACATTTTAAACTCTCGTGGGCCAAGAGTATCTATGATTATGCTCACCCATAGACAAAGTGAGATGTTTTAGCAGTTTAGCCACTTACAACATCATTGGTGGTTTAAGCCTTTCAACACTTTATTTGACATATTTATACCCCGACATCAAGGGCACTGAATCTTCATATTGGTCTTCATATTGACCACGAGTGTGCACAATGGTCACTGGCTCGACTTTGAGTGCACTTCCATAAGTTACTTTCACATCGGTTTCTCGTCTCATACGAGATGGGATAGAATGTTTGTGCTTTTTAAGACTTTGCTTTCCAGAAAGAACTTTAGCAGATTTATTGTCTACATGTTCCAGTCCTAATCTTTCATGTACATACGTTCTTTTGAAGTTTTGTCCCATGCATGGGTCTTCAGCGTACTTTATCATCATCGGGCTCGTTCCAAGCTGTTCTTGTAAAGTCTTCTTCATGACTTTCTTTGGATTTGGCCCCATTCTATCAAAGATGGAGGGCCTTGATTCTGACCCCTCAGTTCGATCGGAGACATAACACTTCGGCTTAGAAGTCACTTCATCTTCTTCATCGGCACTGATATGATGTATTGCGGCTCTATTTATGAGGATCTTTATAGGTTTAGGTTGAACGTAACCCAATCCAACCTGCCCTCGTGCATTGATTTGCTTCAGTGTTCCCTCTCCACCAGCTTCTTGAATGAGCTTCCCCAACTTCCGTTCGTTAGGATTATACCCGGCTTTAGCAAGAAGTTTATATGCGTTTGGATCAAATCCTTCATTTGTACGCACCTTGGGGAGATCGTATGTCTTAACATCATCTTTTCTCTTTACTTCCTCCTTACGTGTGCTCCGAGGAGGCTTCAATATTTCAATCTTTGCAAGAGGGAATGTAAGCCCTTCTACGCCTTCAACAAGCTTTCCTTTCAGCTTTGGTCCAATCAAGGGGCGATATTCTTCCTTTTGTCTAGCATTGTCATCTTTAGAAATTTTGGTCTTTAGGTAAAACTTTGCATCTGCAAAGTATGTCTCGGCTTCTGTGAATGGAGTTTCATCGGCCACTACCTTCTTTACAACGCCATTTTGCTCATACATGAAGCATTGGTGCCATGTTGAAGGGATTACACCGTTCTCATGGATCCATGGGCGTCCTAGAAGGAGATTGTATGAAGCCTTTGCATCAATCACATGGCATAGAGTGTTTGCCTTTAGTCCGCCGATGGTCAAATCAAGACGTATCATTCCAATCGCCCTTTGCCCCCCTTGATTGAAGCCTTGAATCATCAAGCGGCTTTGGGAGAGTTCATCCATTGATATATCAAGGTCTTTCATAGCTCGAACCGTCAGAATATTAACGGCAGACCCTTGATCAATCATAATTCTTTTGAATCTTTGTCCACGAGTGTATCCTTCAACAAAAAGCGGACGGTTATGGGGAGTAGCACCCAACATGAGATCTTCGTCTCTAAAGACAATGTCAGTGACGTATGAAGTAGATTTTTGTGCTTCGACCACTTCTTTCTTAGTCGAAACTAGAGATGGACATCCACTTGAACTCTCAACTTCTTCTTCATGGGTGCTAAGACAAGAACTTGAAATTTGAGCCCTCTCATTCTTGAAATCCTTTGGCATAAAATCGTTGAGAGTAATCACCCTTCGTGCAGTCTTGGAACGAACACGATCCTTCTTTTGTTTCTTTTGCTTTAACTTGTTTGTCGGTTGTTTCCTGACCCGATTCTTTACCACTTTTCTCGGTTGTGGCTTAGGTTTGTGGTTCTTCTTTTGTTTCTTTCGGGTTAGCAAGATCCATGGTCTTCCTTTGTCATCAACATCCTCCAGTGCCATTCTTTTAGTAAGAGAAGGATATTCTTTCATTCCCTTGACAGTAAAAGGAAATCTTCGATTTTGAGAGATCTTGCTCTCTTCTTTTGGGTCATCTTTGACTATGAGTGGAGAAAACCTACCAAAAGTGATGGCAATTTGGTTTGTGCTTGCAGCGGAATCGGCGAGTTCAATCTTTCCTTCACGAGCTAGGGACATAATTTTATCTTTAAGCACCCAACACTTCTCGGTGGGGTGACTAAGAATTCGATGATACTTGCAGTAGTTGAGGTCATCAACCTTTGTAGCTTCCTCGGGTCGTTTGGACTCAGGCAAATCAATTAGCTTCAATCTCATCAGCTCCTCAAACATGGGAGGAACGTCGGAGTCTAAGAAAGGGTACTTCTTTTCCAACATCTCTTCTAGAAATGGTTTAACACGTTTTGACGCCTCCAAGTCGACCCTAGGAACTTGCTTCGAATTTTGAGTGAAGATCTTAACAGGTGCAGTCTTAGCGACCATTGCTTCTTTCTTTTCAAACTTAGAAAAGGGTTTGCCCCCATTTTTGGAATCTTGTTGTTCAACCGCATTATTGACGGGATACATACCCACGGTTTTCCTTCTACTACTCGTAATGCTCAACTCCATGTTACGAGCTTTGCTTGCTAGCTCATCAAAAGTGTTTGGATTGACTCCTTTGAGAATGTAGCACAATTCCCAATGCATTCCTTCAATGCACATATCGATAGCGGAGCTTGTAGAGATTCGTTCTTTGCAGTTTAGAGCAAGATCCCTCCAACGCTCTATGTAAGCTATCACAGATTCATCTTTCCATTGGCGAGTAGTTGTTAGTTCGAGTAAACTGACCACCCTCCTTGTGCTATAGAAACGGTTTAAGAACTCACGTTCCATGTCTTGCCAGCTATCAATGGAACCGGGCTCCAAGTCAGTATACCAGTCAAATGCATTTGCTTTCAGAGATCGCACAAACTGCTTGACAAGGTGATCTCCGCTTGTTCCCGCATTGTTACAAGTCTCTACAAAATGGGCAACATGCTGCCTTGGATTTCCTTTCCCATCAAACTGGACGAACTTTGGCGGCTGGTAACCAATGGGCATTTTTAGATTCTCGATCCTTTGCGTGTATGGCTTAACATAGGAGTAAGTAGATTTGCTTCCTTCTATCTTCTCCTTTATGGTTCCCATGATGAAGTCTTTGAGTTGATCAATCGGGATCATGCCCCCAGAGGTTGAGATGTTCTTCCCCGAATCCTCTTGGTGAGGATCATTTTCTTCATGCATTTCAGGATCCTTCTCATGAGTATGACTTGACTCACCTTTCAAGATTTCTACTTTGTTATTCAGATCATTCAACTTTTGGTCTTGAGTTTGCATGAACATACTCATCCCCTCGATGACCTTGGTTAGATGGGCAATTTGTTCTTCCATAGATGTGGTGCTCGTCGTCATGGTGGGCATCACGGTGTAGACATTTGACCATTGTGGAGTAACTCTTCGTGGAGGACTTGACGGGGGAGTAGAGTCTGATCCAGATGATGAACTCTCATCGCTACTTGTCCATTTTGGGGAAGTAACTTCACGTATGGGTGAAGAAAGCTTCTGGGCCATCTCTTGCGCAATTTGAACTCCAACCATCGCACCGGGAGTTGTTCCCGAAGATGACTGCGCAGCTAGGGTTCTTGATCGGCTCCTAGTGATAGGGCCTTGCATATCTTGATTCGAGCTTGATGATGCTCTAGACTTCAAAGTGAACACGGGCGTGCTTGACGCCATTGGTTCGTTTTCCTTGATCAAAGTGAAGAGATGAGAGGTAGAGTTGTCCCACTGGGCGTGCCAAAAATTTGTGAAACAAATTTTAAGTATTTACTTAAAATTGATCGCAAATAATAATATGTGAGAATATCGGGTACAATCTCTAAATATTAATCCTCTGATTCTTCACTTGCAATTTGATATGAATATAATTAAAGAATTTAATTTAAAATTAAATCTCTAATTCTTCAAAAACTCGAACGTTCATCGATTCTTCGAATCTTCGTTCTTGAGATCTTCGAATCTTCGAACTTCGTTCTTCAGATCTTCAAATCTTCTTGAATGCAAAATTCAATATTGAAGGGCCTCCGGTTTCAAGTAGCTTGATCTTCAACAAAAGGGCCGTTATGTGGCTTGATCTTCTGTTAAAGGGCTTCCCGGGATATATGGCTTGATCTTCAATTGAATATTGATTCAATCTTCATATGAATATCTTCAAATCTTCAAAGATTCGTTCTTCATATCTTCGAATCTTCAAAGCTTCGTTCTTTAGATCTTCGAATCTTCAAGCTTTGTTCTTCAGATCTTCGAATCTTCAAGCTTCGTTCTTCAGATCTTCGAACGTTCTTCAACTTTTGGCTTTTGTTTGATCAAGAATCGATGAAATCACAAAGGATTATTCATATATTCTTGACAAAAACGTGGCTTGATCTCTTCCTCTTCTTCGGAATCCTTCAGAGCCTTTCGGGAGTTCTTCAGAGCTTTGCTGCAGCGTTTCTTCGTCTGGAAGTTCTCCTCCCTTTCTCTCAAATGAGACCCCTATTTATAGGTGTGGAGGAGGTGAAAATATGGCCTAGGGTTGCTGAAATTCGTCCATACCTCATGGGCCATAATTAAAATGGGCTCTGGGCTCCATTTGCTTGCATTTTAATAGCTAAAAAAATCAGCACTTGTGCAACGTATTTGGACAACTTTTTTAACAATGTTCAGAGCTATTTTTCATGCATATGGACACATTTCTTAACCGGATTCGTTGGCCTCTTTATCAATTGGATCATCCTGCTTATATACTGAGCCACTATTTGATAATGGGCTCAAAATTAATTGGATCGGTCCATTCTTTTAAAGATTTAATTTATAATTCAATTAATTGGATATTTTGAATGATCCAAATTAATTGAATTAATAAATTTTATCTCAAGAGATCCATGACACTATTTCCTTCTCGATAAGGCCCAACAACCATCACGGTATCAGTCCACCGGAATCTAATGCTGGCCCAGTTGCACTTCAAAAAGACGTAATGATAATCTGAATCAGCCCAATATTTTCTATATGTCTACAGTGTGTCCGTATGTTTCAGATTTGAGGTCTATTACTGAAATTGAAGAATTTAAACTCTATTTTTGAAAAAGAAATTGAAGTGCGACAAATGTGATGCTCTTATCTTGTAAGCTGTTTTTTTAATTGATTATTACTAAATAAATACTCTGTACTCCCTAAATAAATAATGTAAAATATGTTCGACGTGTTAAATAGTCTCAACATGAAATTCGTTCTCTAACACCAACCTACCGTGTTCAACAACTTCCATTTAGATTTCTAAAAAAAAAAAAACAACTTCCATTTAGAAGGTGAAGATAACCTAACCTCTATTTAATTTTTTTATGGAGTACTCCCTCCGTTTCAGTTTGTTTGACACACTTTCATTTTTAGATGTTTTAAAATGAATGTCACACTTCCTTATTTACTTATTTGGTAAACACATCTTTACCAAAACAGTGCAAAACAGTGTCAAAGAGTGCCAAACAGTGTCAAAACAATAAAGAGCCCGTTTGGTAGCACAAAAATCAGCTGTTTTGGCTGTTTATGCTGAAATTTATGAAGTTCTGGCTGAAGTGGCTGCATTGGCTGATTCTGCTGATTTAAGAAAAAATTATTTTTAAATTATATCTCATTAATAAAATAAAGAAAAAATTATATGTAAAAATAGCTAAAATGGTCATTTACAGTAACTTCAGCCAATACAGCAAAAAAAGTAACTTCAACCTTGCTTTTTCTGCTTATTACACAATTCAGCGCGCGAAAGCAAAAGTTACGTGTTTGGTGAAAAAGCTGGCTGATAAGCCTGATAAGCCGAAAAACAGTGGTTCCAAACGGCCTCAAAATTTACCCCCTCAGTAATTGTTTTTTCTTAATTCTTGACAAGTCAAACTATGTCAAACAAATCAAAACGGAGGGAGTAATATTTACCCTGGTTCAGTCGTCACGCTCCGTATAGTAACCAATACAAACCTAGGTTCTTATAGCTAAGTTAATTTTGGGGTCGACTTGTGTTTCTTCTATTTTACAAATGTGCCGTAGATACCTCATTTTGTACCTCAGCCTATATTTGTAGGTCACAAAAGCGTACTTCTATAAATGAATTGCTCCACTTTAATGAGCTACTTTTGTGAGCCACAAAAATAGGGTGGGGGTACAAATTGGGGTACATTTAGCATTTTTGTCTATTTTATTATAGTACAAGAAACTAGTTTTGAATAAAAATGGTGAGAACTCCCGTATCTATTTAAAAAATGTACTCTATTTGTCATTCACTTGATTGGTCCAAATAGATATATCATTTTTAATTTAGACTCATATAATTTAATTGCAGCATCTGATTGGTCCATGTGGACAAATGTATAATATATTGGTACCTTATGGGTACCATAGAATCTACCTAAAAAAATTACCTACAGAGATTTGAATCTCCGAAAACATAGGTTAACCTAGGTTTAAGAGGTTCTTGGAGAGTGGGCTATTGAAGATTTATGATTTTTTTTTTTTGTGGGGGGGGGGGGGGGGGGGGGGTGAACCTAGGTTTGTATAGGTTACTTTAAAGTTGGTCTCTTATTTCTTGGAAAAACTATCTGATAAGCCCTCCTACCATCACCAAAATACTAGTAGCAATTAAGCTCGTGTACCTAAATATCACTCAATCAAACACTTCAACTTTTCGAGCCCGTTTGGTAGAACTAAACTCGGCTATTTTGGTCGATTTCGCTGAAATTTATGAAGTTCTGGCTGAAGTGGCTGTATTAGCTGATTCTGCTGATTTAAAAAAAATTAAAATATATTTTATTAATAAAATACATAAAAAATTATATGTAAAAATAACAAAAATAGTCATCTAGAGTAACTTAAGCCAATATGGCCAGAAAAGTAACTCTAACCTTACTTTTTCTGCTTGTTACACAATTCAGCGTGCGGAAGCAAAAAACTTACGTGTTTGGTGAAAAAGTTGACCGATAAGCCCGATAAGCCAAAACACAGTGTTGCCAAACGGCCTCTTCAATTTTTAGGGATTTTTTCACAAATAGACTAAAAATTGAAAATAATAGGGAGTATCATTTTGTCACCTTTAAGAGTTTCTTTCAAATATAGATTACTTCAAAACTTCTTTTCAAAAATAGACCATCCGCATGTACGGGAAGCCCACCAACTCAAATTTCTTAGAACAATTTCCTATTTTCGCACCCAGCTAGGTCGTGTTTGAATCAATGCTATGCTGTTCACAAACTAATTATACGTAGTACAAAGAAGTGAAGAACGTGCAGCACTCAACATTTTATCTTTTAAATTGAAAATGTAAAGATTCATTAACTCAAAGTTGATAATGCTTAGAAAATAATGATATTAAAAAAAATTGATTTAAAAAAAACATAAAAAACTCAAAATAAAAAATACATTCCCAAAAAAATGCAAATCAAGAAAATTGTAATGTAAATTTTAAAAATTAAAGAAAATGAATTTAAACTTTACAAAGAACTTAGAAAAATAAAAACATGTAGAAATCTTAAAATAATAAAAACTTGACAAATAATTTGTGAAAGATTACTTTTTCAAAATTGGAATATATGCAAAATAAAGAATCCATAAAATTCAAATAAATGTATAAATTAAAATATTCAAATATTTCCAAATAAAGTATAAGAAAATACACTTGTAAAGTATAAACAGAAAATATAACTCATAAAAATTAAAAATAAGAAATTCAACGTAACCAAATAATAAAATATAATTCTTGTAAATTGAAAACTTATAAATCAAATTTTGAAAATAAAATAAAATTGTATAAATTAAAAAAAAAATATCAGAAAAGTGTAAATTATACTAATACAGAATTGAAGAAAAACGAAACTAGAAAAAAAAATATAAATTATTTTAAAATGTGGGAAGGTTTAAAAAAATGAACAGAATTTTGTGATGTACCTTTTTAAATTATGAATATCATTTATATCAAAATATAAAATTATTAAAATATAAAGAAAATTGAAAGTTTATTAAAAAGGTTTAAAACCTAGTTAAATACCCTAAAGACCTAAGAATGATAAAAAAAATGTAAAATAAGGTAAAAAAAGGTTTAGAAATTAGTAAAAGGTATGAAAAGTAATTAAAGAATTTTGTGGGAAAAAAGGAATACATACATAAACAAATTTATAAATAATCTAAACTTGAAAATTTCAATAATCTGATTAGAATTTCTAAAGTAAAATATAATTAAATTAAACTATGAAGTGTAAAATATAAATTCACTTGAAAAATAAAGATGTGAAAGTTTTAAGTTTTGAGCATACAAAAAATTTAAAAATGGAAAATTTAATAATATAGATTTTTAATTTAATATTTTTAAAAATAGTGAAATTTAGTAATATTTATGATCAAGTGATTGTTACTTTTTGTAGCATATTGTTTTCCTTGTGTTTCTTTTTGTTGATAGATTTAATTATTTTTGTTTTTTATTGTTTTTCTATGTTTTATGTTGGAGTTTTTTTATAAGAATATTACTAAAATAAAACTTATTTACATAAATATGACTATTCATTACTAAAACTTAATGCTGTGGTAACTTAAGTTCAAAACTTGAACATGAATTACTATAATTTCATTACTACTCTAGTAATGAATCATATTAGTGTAAACCATATTTATTTTGGTCATATTTATGTAATTATTTCTTTATGTTGTTGCTAATATACAAAAACCTAAATTTATCATTTTAAGTGTGTGTATATAAGTATATTTGTATATGTGTTCTTTCCCAAAAGAAGTAGCAAAGATAAGTAGAAACCCAAATAAACAATAAAAATAGAAGTTAACAATAAGAAAAACAATAAGCAACACGATACAACAATAAGCAACAAGAAGCAACAAGAAACAACAACATGCAACAAAGAACAGCATATGTAGTATAACAAAAATCAACATGATACAACAATAAGCAACAACATGCAACAAAGAACAACATATGCAGTATAATAAAAATCAACATGATGAAACAAAACGCAACATAGTGCAACAAAAAGAAACAAAAAATGTCTTGATCGAACCTAATGACCATAAGCAGAGATATCCATAAGGTTTGGCGCCAAAGTTGGTTCAGGTTCCTTAATTTCAATCACCACACAATCAGGCATGAAAATATGTTGGCCACTGATGAAGCGTGCTCTAAGCAACATACACCTCACCGCTTTGGTTGGATCAATGATTCTAGTAGCCATGAAATCTTCATAGTTGCCCGTTGCAGCGTAGTATCCATATTTTTTGTTATCACTTGAAAAAACCTTCTTCCTTTTTGCATCCAACTGATCCAAGTACCACATCAATTATTAGTAAACGTAATGTTTCTTGGAAAGTACATTGAATAACTATTCTCATCATGCTCAATCATAGGTGTGTGTAATATGGTAGGCATTCACAAGGGAGATGTATATGTACCAGTTAGAACTTCAAATGGACAAATACGGAGTAATTTCTTGTTGAAAGATATAAACAATTAGAAGACTGTCATCTCAATGATGATCTAAACCAACTCATAACTAGACATGGCTTTACACGTTAAATTAAGCCAAACAAAAAAATGGTCATGAACTATCAAGCCATGTCAACTTAAGCATTGCTGCCAGAAGTCTGATATAGTTTCAGCAGGTCCTAACATCCTAGTAAGTAGCTTTAGGTCATTCTTTAACAAACCATTTCCTGCCAAAGTCAGGACAGATATGTTTGATGGCAAGGATATCAGATGAAGCTTGGTTGTGGCATGCAAGGTTTGGACATCTAAACTTTCAGGCTTTGAGAAGATTATCAACTCAGAAAATAGTTGAGGGAATACCTATCATATCACAAGTAGATCAGCTGTGTGATGGGATTGTGGTAGGAAAGCAACACAGGAAGGTCTTTCCAAAATTGGAAACTTTCATAGCAAAGGAACAACTTGAACTTGTTCATGGTGATCTATGTTGCCCAATATCACCAATAGCACCTGGAGGTAATAGCTATTTCATGCTATTGGTAAATGACTTTTCTAGATTCATGTGGATCACACTTCTTAAATGCAAAAGTGAGGCTTTTGAGGCATTTAAGAAGTTTAAAGCTCTGACTGAAAATGAAGTGTCAAAGAAACTGAGGTGTTTCAGAACAGATAGGGGAGGGGAATTCAAGTCAAATGAATTTCAAAATTAGTGTGAATAACATGGAATTAAAAGGCATTTTACCACTCCATACACACCTCAGCAAAATGGAGTGGTTGAGAGGAGAAATCAAACTGTAATGAGTATGACAAGAAGCATTATGAAGAGGAAAAATGTTCCTGCAAAACTGTGGAGAGAAGCTGCAAGAACTTCAGTATATATACTGAATAGGGCACCTACTAGAAGTGTTGAATTAATGACTCCTTACCAAGCATGGTATGAATGAGCACCAAATGTTGAACATCTTCGTGTGTTTGGCTGCTTGGCACATGCTAAGGTAACATCTCCACACCTTAGCAAACTGGCAGATAGGAGCATTAAAACAATTATGCTTGGTTATGAAGAAGGTACAAAGGGCTATAGATTGCTAGATCCAGTCAAAGAAAGAATTATAGTCAGTAGGGATGTGTTTTTTGAGGAAGATAAGAGGTGGCCATGGCATGATAATCAAGAAGAAGGGGTGACAAATAAAGAAGATGCTTTCACTGTAAACATGGAAGGACTGGAGGCAGATCATGATAGTGAAACCTCAAATGAAGATCTGGGAAACATGTCACAACCTACAACTCCAATGAATGATGACCAGAGTCTATCAAGAACCAGTTCAGATGCTAGCACCGATCATCTTAGATACAGAAGTCTGCAGGATATCTATGACTCAACAAGAGAGATAGAAGAGGAAGTTGGCCTGTGCTTTCTAGCTATTGATGAGCCTAGAAACTATGAAGAAGCAGTTGGGAATCAAAATTGGGAGGAAGCTATGGCTCAAGAAATCAATTCCATAGAAAAGAATGGAACATGGGAGCTCACAGATATTCTAAAGAATCAAAAGGCCATTAGAGTAAAATGGGTGTTCAAGCTCAAAAAAGATCCAGAAGGAAGAATTGTGAATTACAAAGCCAGGTTAGTTGCAAAAGGATATGTTCATAATTATGGAATTGATTATCAAGAGGTGTTTGCACCTATAGCTAGAATGGAAACAGTAAGGACACTTCTAGCCTTAACTGCACAAAGAGGCGGGGAAACACATCATATGGATGTTAAGACAGCCTTTCTTAATGGTGATTTGGAGGAAGATGTTTATGTTAAGCAACCAGAAGGTTTCATTGACAAAGAAAATCCAAACAAGGTTTTAAAACTACATAAAGCATTGTATGGATTAAAGCAAGCACCCAGATCTTGGAACATAAAGCTTGACAAGTGTCTAAAGTCACTCACTTTTGAAAAATGCCCTTTTGAGCATGCTGTGTATGCAAGGCAGGATAAGAATCACATTATGATAGTTGGAGTATATGTGGATGACCTTATTCTGACATGCTCAAGTAGTGAGATCATATATAATTTCAAGATTGAGATGCAAAAAAGGTTTGAAATGAACGACCTTGGTTTGTTGAGCTATTATCTTGGAATTGAAGTGCAGCAAAGAGGTGAGAGCATTACTCTATGCCAAGCAGGATATGCTAGGAAGTTACTTGAAAAACTTGGAATGGCAGAGTGCAATACTTGTTATATTCCTATGGAGCCTAGAAAAAAGTTGAGCAAACAAGAAGGAGATCTGATAAGTTCGTATTTCAACACGCATTTGATGCGTGTTGGGGTCGGATTTTGATGACTTTCCTAACTTTTGGGTATCGTAAGTCTCAATTTTAGCTCAAGTCATGTGTACCGGGCGTAGGTACGAGTTTTGGTATTTTTCAGAGTTGAAATCAGGTTTTTGGGACCCGGCATCGGCATTTGGAAAGAGATCGGGACGAGTTAAGAAGCATTCGAGAGTGAATTTTACAGTTCTGGAGGCCACCGGGAGATTGATGATGATGTTTTGATGAAGAAAGAGCTATTGGATCGATCGAGTGGTCAAACGGAGGCTTAAAACGGAAGAAATCGAAGAAAATGAAGAAGAAAGGCCACGCACGGCCGTGCGTACAGGGACGCACGGCGTGCGTGCGTGGCAGTAGCGGTTAAAAAGAATAATGAGCAACGCACGACCGTGCGTCCGGGTACGCACGCCGTGCGTCCAAGGCGTTAAATGGAAGGAAGCCACTGGCGGCAACGCACGGCCGTGCGTCCAGGTACGCACGCCGTGCGTTCAAAGCGTTTTTTCGAAGAAGTGCTACTGGCAGCAACGCACGGACGTGCGTAGGGGAACGCACGCCGTGCGTTGCCTATTTTTACACGGACGTCCGTCGGACGCACGGACGCAACGCACGCCGTGCGTAGGCTCCGTGCGTACCGCGGATCTGTCCTTTTTCGACCCAAACTCATTGTTTTCTATAAATAAGGCCTTCCTAACCCCGTTTTGAGGTGGGGGAAACCTAGAGAGAAGATTAGGGACGTGTTTTACAGTGTTTTTCCGCTATTTTGTTCAAGACCCTGAGATTCTTTGTAAGTTTCATCTTTTTAATTATTGACAATTATTTCTATTCATCCCAATTCTGTTGATTCTTCAATTATGAATTGTGAGTAGTTTAATTAGGGATTTGGGGTTGATGAATGGGTTAATCATGATGTATGGCTAGATTCTTGACGGTTTAATTGCATGAATGTCGTTTAATTTGTGTATGAATAATTTAATCGATATCTCTTGTAACCTAGATGGGCAGTAGAATTACAATCTGAATAAATTAAGAGAAATACAACTGATTCATCATCCACCGCAGCCCTCTCTGTGGTTTCTATGTCTCCGTCCCTCTATTCGATGTTTCCATCCCTATGTCGATTCAGTTTCTCTCAGCATCGAAGCCATGAATTTTATACGTGAAATCGTTGTCTGCTTCAAGGTCTGGCCAAAGGTTCGAAGGGTTAAAAAGATAATAAAGGTGAGTCGATCGGCGCTGGAGGGAGACGAAGATCGTAGACTGGTGGCTGGGCTGCTCTGTACACCGTAAAACAAAAAAGAAAAAGAACTTCCGTCGCTCGGCGGACCGCTGCTAGCTGTTGTATAGGTACGATCGTGATTCCTCGCTTCGTAGATCTGCATCCCAGTGTTATCGTGAGGAGCAAGGAGCAATACATAAATTGTTTATTCTGTCAACTGTGTCACGATATTTGGTTAACGCTGGACATGTCATCAAGCTCAGAATATTCAAAGTAGAAGGATATTATTTGGTTTAGTCTGAGAAAAACAAAACACTATGCCAGAGAACAAAGGGGAGGGGGCTTTATGTTTCTCAGCACTTCTTGTATGTGGTGACTACTACCACTCGGGAGAAGAAAACCCCAGGAAGTTCTTTAAGGTCACTGCAGGTGATTTATCGAACAATTTGCTGCATATTAATAAGCTTGAGCCAGTTGATGTAGAACTCTCCTTTGGTGGTGGAGGAGAAGATGACAACGTTCTCATTCTTGCTGGAGCTTGTCGTATTGGCAGTTGCTTATACTTCGTCGGAGGTCTACGCCGCCATGATCCTAAATATCCTAACTACAGCGATGAAGATGTGACTGGTTATCATGACGCTTTTTCAAATAGTATTTGGTGCATTGATACTGCTGCTGCTACTGCAACAAGTACACATTGTCTTCCTAGTCTTTGCTCTACTACCATCTCATGCCCATCCAATGGAGATCCCAATCCCCGGGGATATGTAATGCCTTTGGTAGTCCCCTATGATGGAAAGATACTCATTTTTAGTGAAAGGTCACGGGATGGGTTCAAGATTTATGATCCACGTTTGAATCGGTTCTCGTTTCGAACCTTTTCTAAAGAAATATTGCATGATCGTGAGATATGTATTTCTTATTTTCTGTGGAATGACCCCAAGATGCCTCCTCGTAAGAAGCCTTTGATTATGTTCTGCTTGCTTCATTTTTCAAGTGACACGTTTCGACTACGTTCGTATGATTATGAGTTGGATTACTGGGAGACCTTTGACCTTAACTTCACAGACACCCCTGGAAGGGTGATATCTACGAGAAATTGTCACCTCATTCCTTTGGAATATGGCAGCTCTAGCCTGCTTCTAATTATTGGCCGGGCAGGTATTTGGTCCCTTTACAATATGTCCTCTAAAAGATTGGTGATGGAAGAATTGTGTGTGCCAGGCTTGCCACCCAACGAAAAAGTGCCACATGCTTTCACCCAGGAATGCTATGATGAGAGCAAAATTGTACATCAGTTTCTGAATGCCGATCGGGGTGAATTATATGTTGGTCATTTCCATTTAATTGTGTATGCAAAGGTTAGGCTCCAATCCGAAGGGGACAAGTTTTCTGCCAGCCTCTTGTCGCAGTGTTCTATTGAAACCGGTTTCTATATTCAGAGTTACATGTTTGTGGAGGATTCAAATGAGAGTACCGTGATGGATAAGAAGACAACCGAGGCGAAGAAGGATGAGCAGGAGAAGGATTTAAAAAAGAAAAAGACACTCATGGTATGAGGCAAACTGATTCTTGTTCCCCTAACTTATCCATGTAAAAGTCTGCTACTGCTAATTTGTCAGTCTTGTGTCTGTCTAAGATGTATCTACAACTATTGAAGAGCGGAGACAATTTTTATTTATATATCCTTAGACTGTTAGACTTTTGTATTTATCAAGGCAAGGCATTTTAAGGTTTATTTGATTTATCATCCCAAAAATGTTCTGGTTTACAACATACTGTAGACAACATACTGTTCTTTCTTCCTCAACATATAGAATCAAGTTGTTCCTTTATTTTTTCCAAAAAAAAAAAAAAATAAATAAATTAAGAGAGATCTAATTTGTTCTAGGACACATTCACACACACTTAATCGTTTGCTAAGAGATTAGTAGCGATTAAGGGGCCGTAAGCTCGCTCGTCTTGGCAATAATTTAGGATCTTGTCGCATGAGAGATCAGCCTGGTCCCCTAAATTATTGTACTCTACGCCGCGAGAGCGGTAAGAACTTAGTAATGATTAGCTAGGCTCAATTAAATTAAATTCATGTAAATTAGGCCTGATCTGCCAGAAATCTGGTTACCCCGGAATCAATCCCTGTTCCCTTCGTCGTTAATTGAGAAGAAACCACTTTTATTTTAATCGTTCATCTGCATTAGTTTAATTTTAATTCAACCAACCAATCTCGCACATCGCATTTTAATTTATTTATTTCTGTTTAATCGCTGAATTTAGTTAATCTTTAATTCCCTTTTGTCCGTCCCTATGGAGACGATACTCGTACTTTCAACCACTTTTCTACAACTATTTTAAGTGCGAGAAAACACACATCAGTTTTTGGCGCCGTTGCCGGGGACGGTGTCGGATTTAAGGGTTAATTAATTTTAGCGACCTGTTTTTAGTTTTTCGTAGGATTTTTGTCTACTAACCTTGCAGGTCAGATCTGTTTAGGCATACACGCTCTAAGAAGGGAGAATCACTAGTCCCCCTTAATCCTGAGATCGAGAAGCTAGCTAAGTAGAACCGCAAGGCCTTAAGAGAACAGAAAGCAACCATGGATCAACCATCCGCATCTGGAATAGCTGGGACGTCTGAGGTCCAAACCACTTCTGGTAATCTGGATTTTTATGTTAATACCTCTCCCCAGTCTTCACAAGAAAATTCACCTAGAGCTTATCCGGGGTATCAAAATCTCCGTACCCCATTCTTCCACCAAAATCAGTCCACTCCACAACTAAATCTTCCACCACTCTATCAGCTCTTTCAAAATACTTCTATTGCTCCCGAAACCACCTTTCAAAATCAAACCTTTGGGATGCAAGGTCTAGGGCAAAACAATCCAGTCTTTCAGCCCAGGCAGAACCAACCGCCAGTCACACAAAACCCACCCCCTACTCAGCCACAAAATCAACCTTTCCAACCCCAATATCAACAATTCCATCAGCCCCAACCGCAGCCAAATATCATCCGTCCACAACCCATAAGGCCACAACCAGTTCATCAGCCGAGATATCAAGCTCCTCCATACCACAATTATGTTCCACATGACAATCCACTCTATCAAGGAGAGAGCATTGCAGACTTCCTAGCCCCCGAGATCACAGAGTATGACAGTATTCAGGTACCGGGGATTACTGCACCCCGTTACGAGATCAAGCCGGCGGTGATCAACATGGTCCTAAATAATCAGTTTGGAGGGAGTCCTACGGAAGATCCAGTGGCACACATTACCAAATTTCTGAGGATGTGCCAGACTTTCAAGATTCCTGGGCTAGATGACGATCAGGTACGGATGTTACTATTCCCTTTCTCTTTGAGGGATGACGCACAGAGGTGGTTGGATAGCAATCCACATCACCACATTCAGACGTGGGATCAGCTGCACAAGGCCTTCATAAAAGAATACTTCCCAACATCAAAGGCCATAAAGTTGAAGAAGCAGCTACAGGAATTCAAGCAAGGTTCGTTGGAGACATTGGCTGAGGCGTGGAAGAGATTCAAGGTGCTGAGAAGAGCTTGCCCTCAAGGCAAGATGACTGATTGTGAGGTTCTATCTTGTTTCTATAGTGGACTCAACAATGAAGGAAAGCTGATGCTTGATGCTTCGGGAGGTGGAGCTTTTCCTCAGTTGCCATCTGAGGTTGCGGAAGAATTAGTGGAGAAGATCGTGACTAATAATGCTTCATGGTACAGCTCTCGGGACACACCTCACCAGAAGGCCCCGGGATTGTACGAGATCAGTGAGAATTCTGCCCTTTCTGCAAGGGTAGATGCTTTGACCAGTTTGATTCAGAAGCTTGCTACTACAGTGGAAGACAATCAAAAGAAGACGGAACTTGCTCTCTCGGTGCCCGGTGTAAATATGGTAGCCCCCGTTCCTATTAGTCCCTCTTGTTCTATGTGTGGGGGACTCCATTCGCCACATGAATGCACAATGATGGCACACTCGGCAGCCCCTGGAGTAGAGCAAGTGGATGCGATGTATTATCAGCGACAGGGCTATTATAATCAGCCTTACGGACAGCGGCAACAAGGGCAATACGGGCAGGGAAATCAGCAGCAGTCTAGAAACTTTAATCAGCCCCAGGTACCTCAAGGCCAACAACAAGCACCTCAGCCGGCGCAAGGGAGTTTTAGAAAAGAGACTGAGCAAAGATTCTCTAGTTTGGAAGACACATTCAAGAAATACATGCAAGTGACTGATGCAAGGATGCATAAAATGGAAACTCAATTGGGGCAGATCTTTAAGGCAGTATCTGAGACTGAGAGGCCTCAAGGATCCCTCCCTAGTAATACTGAACCAAATCCCAGAGAACATGTTCAGGCAGTGACCTTGAGGAGCGGAAAAGAGCTGGAACCTGCTGCCACAACAAAGAAGCCCGATGAAGTTCAAGTTGAACCGGCTGTCCGGGAGGAAGAGAAGGAGAAAGATGAGGGAAGAGAGGTGGCGGCTGCACCAAAACAGTCCGTTCCGGTCAAGAATTACACCCCACCTCTCCCCTATCCGGCGCGATTAACTAGGAAGAACGATAGTGACCAGTTTGGTAAGTTTCTGCATCTCATGAAACAAGTGCAGATTAACTTACCATTCGTGGATGCACTAGCTCAGATGCCGAAGTACGCGAAGTTTATGAAGGATTTGCTCACGAACAAGAGGAGGTTGGAAGAAGCGTCTACTGTGACGCTTAATGAGGAGTGCTCAGCGGTGATACAGACAGATCTGCCGAAGAAGCTTAAGGATCCAGGTTCTTTTACTATTCCCTGCTTTATAGGAGATCTTACTTTTGATAGCGCCCTGGCTGATTTGGGTGCAAGCATTAATCTGATGCCTCTTGCTTTATATGAAAAGCTTGCACTCGGTCCACGTAAACCTACACGTATGTGCATTCAGTTGGCTGATCGTTCAGTCAAATATCCCCAAGGGATTATTGAAGACGTGTTGGTTAAAGTGGACAAATTTATTTTTCTGGTAGATTTTGTTATTTTGGACATGGATCAGGATCGGGAGGTACCATTGATTTTGGGCAGGCCATTCTTGGCAACTGCCCGTGCACTTATTGATGTTGGAGACGGTAAACTTGTCCTCCGCGTTGGGGATGAGTCTGCCACCTTTGACATGTCCAAAATAATGAAGAGGCCCTGTCAAGATAGTGGTGAGTGTTTTTACATGGATGTGGTTAATTCTTTGGTGGAGGATTGCATTCCCAACATGCTTTCTGATGAAGCCTTCTTTGATCTTCTTTTGTACGATAGTTTGTCAGCAGAGGATCTTGAGCTCCTCCCCAGTTTTGATTGTCTTATGCTTGATGGGGAGGAAGACTCAAGTGATGCTAGTGATGTGAAGGGGAAGGAAGATGACTTAGATAAGGTGGAGAAGGAAGACTGTCAGACTGATTCTTCTATTGTTACTCCTTCTCCATTAAATCTAAAGCCTCTTCCCTCCCACCTTGAGTATGCGTTTCTAGATGATAGTCCTGACCTCCCTGTTATTCTTGCATCCGGGCTTGAGCCATCCCAAAAATCTGCATGTCTTGACTTACTTTGTGAACAAAGGGAAGCTCTAGCCCGGAAACTTTCTGACATGAAAGGAATCAGTCCTGTTTTCTGCACTCATAAAATTTTGATGGAAGATAATGCTAAACCGGTAGTGCAGTCACAAAGGAGACTGAATCCTAATATGCAGGAAGTGGTCAGGGAGGAAGTCATCTGTCTGTTAGATGTAGGGATTATTTATCCAATTTCAGACAGCCCTTGGGTCAGCCCGACTCAGGTGGTTCCCAAGAAAGGGGGGATGACTGTGGTTAGGAATGATAAAGATGAGTTGATTGCTACACGTACGGTCACCGGATGGCGGGTTTGCATTGATTACCGAAGGTTGAATGCCGCCACCCGGAAGGACCACTTCCCTCTCCCCTTCATTGATCAGATTTTAGAGAGGTTAGCAGGGCATAAGTTTTACTGTTTCCTTGACGGGATGTCGGGATACTTCCAGATCCCCATAGCCCCCGAGGACCAGGATAAGACCACTTTTACATGTCCATTCGGTACCTTTGCTTATCGGAGGATGGCGTTTGGATTATGTAATGCCCGTGCTACCTTTATGAGATGCATGCTTGCTATTTTTGGGGATTTCATTGGGAAGTTTATGGAGGTTTTTATGGATGACTTTTCTGTGTATGGTGATACTTTTGATGAGTGCTTAGAGAACTTGAAGAAAGTCCTGGTTAGGTGTCGAGAGGTGAATTTGGTACTTAACTGAGAGAAGTGCCACTTCATGGTTAGTGAGGGAGTGGTCCTAGGGCATAAGATTTCAAGTAGGGGGATTGAGGTAGATCCGGCTAAGGTTGATGTGATTTCTAAATTACCTCCCCCTACTTCGGTCCGTGCCATTAGGAGTTTTCTAGGCCACGCAGGTTTCTACCGTAGGTTCATCCAGGACTTTTCTAAGATAGCCCGACCCATGACTAAGCTCCTTGAGAAGGACACACCGTTTGACTTCTCAAAGGAGTGTTTAGAGGCTTTTGAGTGTTTGAAGGAGAAACTGGTCAAGGCACCGGTGGTAGTAGCTCCTGACTAGTCTTTGCCTTTTGAGATTATGTGTGATGCTAGTGATTTTGAGGTAGGAGCCGTTCTTGGGCAGCGTCGAGATAAACATTTTCAGCCTATTTCTTATGTTTCTAAAACTTTCGATAGTGCCCAAGAAAACTACACTACCACCGAGAAAGAATTGCTTGCTGTTGTTTTTGCTCTTGACAAGTTTCGACCTTATTTGATTTTGTCTAAGGTAGTGATATTCACCGATCATTCTGCTCTTAAATATTTGATGCAAAAAGTGGATGCCAAGCCTAGATTGATTCGGTGGATATTACTACTCCAAGAGTTTGATATTGAGATTAGGGATAAGAAAGGGGCTGAGAATTTAGCGGCTGATCACTTGAGTAGGTTAGAAAACCCCTTTCTTGATTCCCTGAGTGAGAGAGATATTGAGGGTACTTTTCCTGATGAGAGACTTTTAAGGATCGTTGATGAGGTGCCTTGGTTTTCTGACATCGCCAACTATCTTGTTGGGGGTGTTGTTCCTTCTGATTATACACCTCATCAACGAAGGAAATTTTTTGCTGATTTGAAATACTATTTCTGGGAGGAACCATATTTGTTTCGTATTTGTGCTGATCAGGTTGTTAGAAGATGTGTTCCCTTGAGTGAAGGAGTTGAGATTCTCAAACATTGTCACTCCGGACCGACTGGGGGACACTATTCTTTTAACCGGACAGCTCGTAAGGTGTTGGAATGTGGTTTCTTCTGGCCCACATTGTTTAAAGATGCTCTAACGTTTGTGCAGGAATGTGACTGGTGTCAACGCACCGGGCCGGTTACCAAGAGGGATGAGATGCCCCAGAATTTTATATTGGCTTGTGAGGTATTTGATGTTTGGGGCATTGACTTCATGGGACCGTTCCCGGGTTCTAAAGGTAATAAATTCATTCTGGTTGCTGTGGATTATGTCTCTAAGTGGGTTGAGGCTGAAGCTCTGCCCACTAATGATGCTAGAGTTGTGATTCGTTTTCTGAAGAAATTGTTTTCTAGGTTTGGAGTGCCACGAGTTTTGATAAGTGACAGGGGTACCCACTTTAGGAATGATCCCATGACTCGCCTTCTGGCAAAGTACGGGGTCACTCATAAAGGGGGCGTCCCTTATCACCCTCAAACTAGTGGCCAAGTTGAGAATTCGAATAGGGACATAAAGATCATCCTTGAGAAGACTGTTGAGACCCATAGGAAGGATTGGTCTGATAAGTTAGATGATGCGCTGTGGGCACTGCGTACAGCGTATAAGACACCCATTGGCACTACTCCGTTTCACTTGGTTTATGGGAAGGCGTGCCACCTTCCGGTAGAGATAGAGCATAAGGCCTACTGGGCCTTGAAAACGTTGAATAAGGATTTGTCTTTGGCGGGTCGTGAACGACTTTGGAAGCTCAACGAGTTGGATGAGTGGAGGCTTATGGCCTATGAGAACTCTAAAATTAGTAAGGAGCGTACCAAAGCCTATCATGATCGGCACATTAAACAGGGGAAAGAGTTTTGTAAGGGGGATCAAGTTCTGCTATTCAATCCCCGAATGAAAATTTTTAAAGGAAAGTTGAAGTCTAGGTGGTCCGGTCCTTTTGTAGTGAGCGAAGTTTTTCCATATGGAACTGTTGAGATTGATCATCCTGAGAAAGGCCGTTTTAAAGTTAACGGTCACCATTTGAAGAAATACTACGGAGGACCGCTAGAACGCGAGCGTGAGGTGACCTTTGTCACGAATTTAGAGAGCTGAGTGCATAATTGCGTCGGGCAAACGACGTTAAAAATAGCGCTTCTCGGGAGGCAACCCGAGCTTAATTTGTGTTTCAGTAGTTTAGTTTTACTGCTTTTCAAAAAACCCACAAAAAAAAAAAATTAGTGAGATCGTGGGAATGCACGGACGTGCGTAGGTGAACGCACGCCGTGCGTTGCCCAGAGAGATCAAACGGGGAGCTACTGCCATTGACGCACGGACGTGCGTCCGGGTACGCACGCCGTGCGTTGCCCAGGCGGAACTCGCGACACCTACTGGCAGGCACGCACGGCCGTGCGTCCGGGTACGCACGCCGTGCGTTGCCAATTTCTAAAATATACACCTGCCTCCCCAAAATAGAACGCACGCACGCAGCTTTCCCTTGCGCGACTGACGAGCTGAGAGCCCACCCTCGACCGAACACCAGCCGCACCGCCGACCCACCGCGACCGCCGCGTCCGCCGCGACCACCGCACCACCAACCACCCGCCGCCCTCTTCTCTCTCTTCTCCAAGGTATCTCATTCTTCTTCTCTTTTCTTCTCTAACCTCCATTAATGGAGGTTTCTCCAAGCTTTTCTAGAAATTCAAATTCTTATGCTCTAAAATCAGGGAATTGCATCACCATGATTAAATTGAAGCTTGTAATGATGATTTTGATGTTCTAAGTGTATGAATTTGCCTCTTTTGTTTGGAATCCCTAATTTTTGAGTTGACTTGACCAATTTAGGGTTGATTTTGAGAAAAATTTGGGGATTTTTGTGCTTGTTGCTAGAATGAAGGAGTGAATTTTTGCTTGTGATGATACATGATTGTTGTTTAGTCTATTTGAGAATGAATCCCCAATTTTTAGGCTAAAACTTTGTTCAACTCGAAAATTTAGAGTTCTTCCCCCAAAATTTTGACATTTTAGCCAATTAATTTGGGAAGAATTCTAATCTGGAAATATGATTGTGATAATTGGTTCTTGCATGTGACCTTGTTTACACCGTGTGTCGTTGAAAATTTGAATTTTATTCAAAGTTTTTTGATAAAAGTTCAATTTTCAACTATTCTGGTTAAACAATGGGTTTGTATTAGCTTTTACTTGTGCTTGTGATGTAGTGTTGCTAACGGGGCTATGATTATGGAACTCTTGGCTTATTTCTAACCTGTGGAAGCCCCTTTGGAATCTTCGTGGAATATTTTTCTTTTGCAGATGACCCGCACCAAGCATTCCGCTAAGAGGCACCGGGACAACACCGGTGCTAGCTCCAGCCGGGCCAACCCAAACAGAAATCAGCAGCCGATTGTACCCTACCAACCTCAGTTCCGCGACAATGCTCAATGAGAGAAATATGAGGATTTGATGCAACGGCGAATAGGCAAAGTTTTGTTCCCCCATTTGCCTACACTGGAGAGGGCTGGATTACGAGACGAGGTTATGGAGTTATTGTCCCGAGACTGGTGGCAACACCTCTTCTTCGGCATCAATGAGCCGACTTACAAAGAGATCACTTGCGAGGTGCTTTCTTCTTTCAGGGCTCCAAGGGAGATTACCAACAATTTTCACCCAGTGATCAAGTTCAGAGCCTTTGGGGAGGATCATGTGTTCTCAGCAAGTGACATCTCTGGGCACTTAGGTTTTAATCATTTGGGGGATGTTGCCCGCTGGGATGGTAGCCTTTTAGACTTTCCGCCGGAGGTGAATCAGCAATAGTTTTGGGAGTCTATTACTGTTAATGGGGGCAAGTACAACTCACAGATTTCGCCTAGCACGGTCCTACATCCACTCAAATACCGCGTCATCCATGCCTTGTTGAGTTCCACAGTTTCCGGCCGCGCAGAGAAAGGCGGCAAGGTCTCCTCCACTGACTTCTTCTGTCTCTATTGCATGATTTATGGGAGGAGGCCGATCTTTGGCGCTCTCTTCGCGGGACTTTTTGCCAGGCACGCTAGTTATCGGGTCAAGGAGATTTTTGCTGGCCCGTACATTACCCGCATGATGAAGGCGATGGGGTATGGAGACCGTCTGGAGGGGATGACAGTCGTAGAGCATATTTATCCGATGGAGACGCTGCCCAAGGAGATTCCAGCTGGACGCCGAGCAGCTAGGCACACAGATGATGATGCTAGTGGCGCTGAGGGCCACCAGCAGGCTGAGCAGGATGACGCGCATGAGATGATGCACGGGGCCCCCGTTCTGCCCCCGCCCCAGGGACATGTGTTTCCCAACTCTTGGGAGGGGATGCATCAGCATATAGAGGATGTTTATGGCCGACTTTTTGAGCACCAGCAGCAGTTTTTCACGCAGATGAGCAACGATGTCACTGCAGGCTTCTCCAGTCTTGATTTGAGGATGACGTCATTGGAGCAGAGATGGGACAGACAGTTCCCCGATGATCAGCAGCCACCCCCTCCCCCATTTTAGATTATGATACATTGTACCCATATTGATCACATTCTGCACTGAGCACCTGACACTACTTTTACTCTTTGTTTTCATGGATGTTTTCTTTCTGCTTTGTTGTGATTGCAGCTTTTATTGATAATTGATCGTTGCTTAGACGTTTGGAATGAAGGATCGATTGAGTTCAAGACCGACCAAAGACCTAGGGGAGTTTCTACGTTCCTTACTCGTACTTTTTCGCCTGCCTTTTGTTGACTTGAGTTGATGTTGAGCACGCGCGACCCTTTCCCTTTATCCCCTTGTGCATTGTGCATTTTTGGACATCGAGGGCGATGCCAAAGTTTAAGTGTGGGGGAGTGAATTGGGCATTCGGGCATTAGTTGTTATTTGTAATTATTAGAGTTAGCATGCGCAGGTGTTAGTTGTATATTCATAGGAAAGTTATGTCAAAATTTTCGAAAATTTTTCTTTAAACTATGTCTTTGTGAGCTGGCTAGCGTTTTTTACTATGCTCTTATAACATCTTTGAAGTGTTTAGACTTAAAGTGCTAGCACTATATTCCAGTTACTGAGAGGATGAAGGCATTAGTCACCAATAAAATAAATTCATAAAACATCCACCTCACCAAAATTTTCCCCTTAGGAGAAGCCATTTTGAGCCTGACCGTTCTTTGTTTACCCAATTAATTGAGCTCCATAGCGAAATGACCTGTGTTTTCTTAACCCGTGAATATTTCTGACTTAGTCTTGATGTTTAAGGAACTAGGGGATGAATTGCTAAGATTAGGGAATTTTTGTAGGAGCCATTTTTGGCACTGTTCCTATGCCCCAAATAAGGTAAGAGCAGTCACTTTTTAGGAATTTGATATTTTCGAGGATTGCATTGTAGGCATGGATTCACCTTTTTAATTAATGAACTTTAATGGCTATTTTTCCTTGGTGAGGCCGAGATTAGAATGGGGTAATGTCTAGTGAGAATCCGAAAGGTGAAAAATTAATATAGCTAGACCTCTTACTTTGCGAAAAAGAGAATGGGAGCCCCAGTCAAAAAGCGTAAGATGAGACTTGGGTATCTTTCGAAAGAAACGGCGTTTGATGCGTGTTGGGGTCGGATTTTGATGACTTTCCTAACTTTTGGGTATCGTAAGTCTCAATTTTAGCTCAAGTCATGTGTACCGGGCGTAGGTACGAGTTTTGGTATTTTTCAGAGTTGAAATCAGGTTTTTGGGACCCGGCATCGGCATTTGGAAAGAGATCGGGACGAGTTAAGAAACATTCGAGAGTGAATTTTGCAGTTCTGGAGGCCACCGGGAGATTGACGATGATGTTTTGATGAAGAAAGAGCTATTGGATCGATCGAGTGGTCAAACGGAGGCTTAAAACGGAAGAAATCGAAGAAAATGAAGAAGAAAGGCCACGCACGGCCGTGCGTACAGGGACGCACGGCGTGCGTGCTTGGCAGTAGCGGTTAAAAAGAATAATGAGCAACGCACGGCCGTGCGTCCGGGTACGCACGTCGTGCGTCCAAGGCGTTAAATGGAAGGAAGCCACTGGCGGCAACGCACGGCCGTGCGTCCAGGTACGCACGCCGTGCGTTCAAAGCGTTTTTTCGAAGAAGTGCTACTGGCAGCAACGTACGGACGTGCGTAGGGGAACACACGCCGTGCGTTGCCTATTTTTACACGGACGTCCGTCGGACGCACGGACGCAACGCACGCCGTGCGTAGGCTCCGTGCGTACCGCGGATCTGTCCTTTTTCGACCCAAACTCATTGTTTTCTATAAATAAGGCCTTCCTAACCCCGTTTTGAGGTGGGGGAAACCTAGAGAGAAGATTAGGGACGCGTTTTACAGTGTTTTTCCGCTATTTTGTTCAAGACCCTGAGATTCTTTGTAAGTTTCATCTTTTTAATTAATGACAATTATTTCTATTCATCCCAATTCTGTTGATTCTTCAATTATGAATTGTGAGTAGTTTAATTAGGGATTTGGGGTTGATGAAGGGGTTAATCATGATGTATGGCTAGATTCTTGACGGTTTAATTGCATGAATGTCGTTTAATTTGTGTATGAATAATTTAATCGATATCTCTTGTAACCTAGATGGCCACTAGAATTACAATTGCTTATAGAATAAATTAAGAGAGATCTAATTTGTTCTAGGACACATTCACACACACTTAATCGTTTGCTAAGAGATTAGTAGCGATTAAGGGGCCGTAAGCTCGCTCGTCTTGGCAATAATTTAGGATCTTGTCGCATGAGAGATCAGCCTGGTCCCCTAAATTATTGTACTTTACGCCGCGAGAGCGGTAAGAACTTAGTAATGATTAACTAGGCTCAATTAAATTAAATTCATGTAAATTAGGCCTGATCTGCCAGAAATCTGGTTACCCCGGAATCAATCCCTGTTCCCTTCGTCGTTAATTGAGAAGAAACCACTTTTATTTTAATCGTTCATCTGCATTAGTTTAATTTTAATTCAACCAACCAATCTCGCACATCGCATTTTAATTTATTTATTTCTGTTTAATCGCTGAATTTAGTTAATCTTTAATTCCCTTTTGTCCGTCCCTGTGGAGACGATACTCGTACTTTCAACCACTTTTCTACAACTATTTTAAGTGCGAGAAAACACACATCAAGATCCTATCCCAGATCCTACATTCTGCAGAAGTGTGATAGGAAGCTTGAGGTATCTTGTCAATACAATACCAGATCTGGCTTATTCAGTAGGAGTAGTAAGCAGGTACATGGAAGCACCTACATTAATCCACATGAAGGAAGTCAAACAGATTCTTGGGTACATCAAGGGAACATCAAGTCAAACAGATTTATGAACATATCCTTTTGCAACTAACCTGGCTTTGTAATTCACAATTCTTCCTTCTGGATCTTTTTTGAGCTTGAACACCCATTTTACTCCAATGGCCTTTTGATTCTTTAGAATACCTGTGAGCTCCCATGTTCCATTCTTTTCTATGGAATTGATTTCTTGAGCCATAGCTTCCTCCCAATTTTGATTCCCAGCTGCTTCTTCATAGTTTCTAGGCTCATCAATAGCTAGAAAGCACAGGCCAACTTCCTCTTCTATCTCTCTTGTTGAGTCATAGATATCCTGCAGACTTCTGTATCTAAGATGATCGGTGCTAGCATCTGAACTGGTTCTTGATAGACTCTGGTCATCATTCATTGGAGTTGTAGGTTGTGACATGTTTCCCAGATCTTCATTTGAGGTTTCACTATCATGATCTGCCTCCAGTCCTTCCATGTTTACAGTGAAAGCATCTTCTTTATTTGTCACCCCTTCTTCTTGATTATCATGCCATGGCCACCTCTTATCTTCCTCAAAAAACACATCCCTACTGACTATAATTCTTTCTTTGACTGGATCTAGCAATCTATATCCCTTTGTACCTTCTTCATAACCAAGCATAATTGTTTTAATGCTCCTATCTGCCAGTTTGCTAAGGTGTGGAGATGTTACCTTAGCATGTGCCAAGCAGCCAAACACACGAAGATGTTCAACATTTGGTGCTCATTCATACCATGCTTGGTAAGGAGTCATTAATTCAACACTTCTAGTAGGTGCCCTATTCAGTATATATACTGAAGTTCTTGCAGCTTCTCTCCACAGTTTTGCAGGAACATTTTTCCTCTTCATAATGCTTCTTGTCATACTCATTACAGTTTGATTTCTCCTCTCAACCACTCCATTTTGCTGAGGTGTGTATGGAGTGGTAAAATGCCTTTTAATTCCATGTTATTCACACTAATTTTGAAATTCATTTGACTTGAATTCCCCTCCCCTATCTGTTCTGAAACACCTCAGTTTCTTTGACACTTCATTTTCAGTCAGAGCTTTAAACTTCTTAAATGCCTCAAAAGCCTCACTTTTGCATTTAAGAAGTGTGATCCACATGAATCTAGAAAAGTCATCTACCAATAGCATGAAATAGCTATTACCTCCAGGTGCTGTTGGTGATATTGGGCAACATAGATCACCATGAACAAGTTCAAGTTGTTCCTTTGCTCTGAAAGTTTCCAATTTTGGAAAGACCTTCCTGTGTTGCTTTCCTACCACAATCCCATCACACAGCTGATCTACTTGTGATATGATAGGTATTCCCTCAACTATTTTCTGAGTTGATAATCTTCTCAAAGCCTGAAAGTTTAGATGTCCAAACCTTGCATGCCACAACCAAGCTTCATCTGATATCCTTGCCATCAAACATATCTGTCCTGACTTTGGCAGGAAATGGTTTGTTAAAGAATGACCTAAAGCTACTTACTAGGATGTTAGGACCTGCTGAAACTATATCAGACTTCTGGCAGCAATGCTTAAGTTGACATGGCTTGATAGTTCATGACCATTGTTTTGTACGGTTTCATCCCGTGAACTTCCAAATCTCTGCATCCTTTCTTCATGGGCTTTTAGAGAACCAACAATATCCTCAACAGTCTTTGTTGTTAGGTCTCCAAATTCTTCAATTGTAGAGGAGATCTGTAGAAACCTTGGTGAAGTAGATCTGAGGAGTTTCTTTACAACCTTCTCTTCATTTACAGGTTTGCCTCACCCTCTCAGTTTTGTGGCAATGGTTGTGAGTTTTCCAGAGTAGTCATCTACTGACTCTGAATTACCCATTCTCATAAACTCAAATTCTCTCCATAGAGTTTTTGTCCTTACCTCTTTAACTTTGTCAGCCCCAAGATTCATTGTTCTCAACATGTTCCACACTTCTTTTGCAGTCTTGTTGGCACCTAATTGCAGCAAGGTGTCTTCTCCAATGCCTTGGTAAATGGCTGCTAAAGCTATTTTATCTCTCCGGTTATCAACAGCTTCTTTTGCTTCAACAGCATCCCACACTCCATGTGCCATCAAAACACTTCCATTTTGATGGCCCATGTCGTATAGTTACTTTTATTCAGCATATGATACTTGAGTGAGATAGAGCCTCCATCTCCTTCTGGCGTGCTCTTGCTGCTCTCACCGGATGATGAACTCGAACTTGTCCCAGTCATAATTCAATGACTTTACACCCAACACTCTGATACCAAATGTAGGAATACTCGCATACTAAATACATACATATGAAAGTACATGTGTAGAATATTAAGAGGACAACAGTTGGTTTTCTTTTTTTTTGGTGGTGATCAAAAGCATTGCTTCTTTTGAGTCACCGGATTTTCATTTATAAGAAGCAAATGAACGTATGTACAATGCAGTTACTCACTCACGCACATAACCCACTAACCCACTACTTGAAACATGCATGCTATGATAACAACCTCTACGTAATGCATAACTTTCACTAATGCAAAAAACAAAAAAATAAATTCCATGTATGAATGCATGCATGTCATGCAAAGTTTAGCTCCGTAGTTGTTTATTGTTGTTGTTGTGCTCAAATGGAAAAAGTTCATGAACAATAACACCTTTCTCCTTGCCACATGGGGCATTGCATGGGGATGGGCATCTTCTTTAGATGCCATGAGCCTGCATTCCGGGCGTAAATGGGCGATTGTAGCCCACATTGCTCTGAACTCCATAGGGTGTGCTTACTGGGTGCTGCAAATTTATCGTCGTTGCATGGGTAGAATCCTGGGTAGCATGAATGTTTTGCTTGTAGAACTGTTGATCTGGTTCCTTATGCTTGCATTAAGTATCATCGAGTGGGTCCTCCGTCTTACAGCTTTTCGTGACAAACGCGAGAAATTCATCGAAATAGACCAATGGTATCCATTGATCATCACTCTAATCGCAGCTGCCGAAAGCTTTCTGACGAAGTGGCTAGAGGACCGTGAGGATGCGAGGAAGACTCCACAGCTAAAGAGGTTGGAAGCCCTGTTTGGGAATTTCGCTGGAGGGAATGCTACTCCGGCTGATTTTGTCATATTCTTACGACATGTGTTTGACTTTGCTCCATACATTCGTGCAGCAGTGGTGAGACTTGTTAGAGAAACAGAATTTGTGGAAATAAGAGCACAGCCTCTCTTAGTGGTGCCGCTAGAGCAGGAGATGGTGCCGCCGGAGCAGGAGATGGTGCTGCTGCAGCAGGAGATGGTGCTGCCGGAGCAGGAGATGGTGTCGCCGGAGTAGGAGATGGTGCTGCCGGAGCAGGATATGGTGCCGCCGGAGCAGGAGATGGTACCGCCGGAGCAGGAGATGATCCTATCGGAGCAGGAGATGGTGCCGCAGGAGCAGGAGATGGTGCTGCCAGAGCAGGAGATGGTGCCGCCGGAGCAGGAGATGGTGCTGCCGGAGCAGGAGATGATCCTGCCGGAGCAGGAGATGGTGCCGCAGGAGTAGGAGATGGTGCCGTCAGAGCAGGAGACGGTGCTGCCGGAGCAGGAGATGGTGCTGCCAGTTATGTTTATGTGACTTTAGAGTTGTGGTTTAGACTTTAGAGTTGCTGTGAGTTTGTAGTTCATGTTAGTTTCTAGCCAGTTATGTTTTGATGTTAGTTACGTTGTTGTAGTTTGTTGCTGTTAGTTTGTAGTTCATGTTAGTTTCTAGCCAGTTATGTTTTGATGTTAGTTACGTTGTTGTAGTTTGTTGCAGTTAGTTTGTAGTTCATTTTAGTTTCTAACCCGTTATGTTTTGATGTTAGTTACGTTG